TTCTCTTTTAATTACTCTTCGCTCTAATGAAAATTTTGACTAATTTGTCCCGACTTAAAAGTCACTAATTATAGGACATTTTTTGCTTGCTTCAAAATTGCAACATTATCTTTCCTAATGGGAGCGTTTGTGCTCTTGTGATGTTCTTGATAATGTATGTCAATATACATGGGCTAGGGTTTTATCTAGTAAATATGCGGTTGCTAGGGAAAAATTTATAACCTCGTTTATTTGGAAGAGTCTCCTAAAGGGTTGGTATTTTTGCAACATAGATATTAGATGGGGCGTAATTAACAAATCCACATTAAACGTCTGGGAATCAAACTGGATACCAAACGTGATGAAACTTAGAAGGGTTATTGTAAGCCCCTTGAAAAAACACGAAAACGACCTTACAATGGATAATATTAGAAATGGTCGCCAATGAAATCTAACAAAAATCTCCTTTAAACTACCTACACAATTTTTTGATAATATAAATGAAATTACTCCTCCTAACGACCATAAAATAGGCAACAATATTATCTGGAGCTTCAACTCCAGTGGCCTCTTCACGACCACATCTTGCTATCAAATTATTAATAACAAGGAGAAAGTCTAAAAAGATTTCACATGGATTTAGAAACTACACTGCCCTAATAAAATAAAAAATTTCATTTGGAAATGTTACCATGATAAACTCCCTGGTAGATCATACCTATGTAGAATAGGTATTAACATCGATCCACTATGTCGAGTTTGCAAACAAGGGGAAGAAACAATGCATGATATATTCTGGGAATGTAATATTATTAATAATTTGTGGAACACTTATGGGATAACTTATACCCTTTCAAATAACAAAAACCACTGGATTGATTACGTAGGAAACACAAATTGTACTTTCTCACATAAATAATCTTCAGTGGGAAGATGTATTTTCTTTTGCATTATGGCATATATGAAAAAATAGGAACAATAACAACCATAACAATACCACATATCGTATGGAATGGTTCACTATTATTAATCAAGCATTAGAATACAAGCTTATGACTGAAAAAAGGACGACCAACACCACCCACAAAGAAATTAGAGTAACATGGAATAAGCATCCAAATGGGTGGTTCAAGTTAAACATAGACGGAGCCTTCAACAAAAATAAATGCCAAGGCGGTATTGACAGCATAATAAGAAACAATGCAGGCTCCTGGATTATGGCATTCAGCAAAAAGATGTCAACATTGTCTGCTACTCAGGTGGATCTCCAATCCCTCCAGCAGGGTCTACATGCGATATTGGATCACAACCTATTTTCAATGGAAATAGAGACGGATGCATCGGAGGTGATGAGCATACTAGAAAATGATCGCCCTACTTACACTAACTTAGTTAATGATTGCAGGTTGTTGTTGCACCAGGCAAGACAGAAGCGCCAAGTAACTCTCACGCATAACTTCAGTCAGGGAGATAAAGTGGCACACGTTTTGGCTAAGGAAGCACTGATGCAGTCCAACATAAATAAATTATGGCTCTTCGCAACACCTCCACAACTGGCGATGGAAAAGTATCAAAGGAGCCTGGAAGGTTTTTCTTGTGTAAAATATGTTTCCCCTAATGTATACACTAGGTTGGTTGCTCTAGGTAATGCTGATGCCATAGGAGGCAATGGTTCGTATGTAGGTGCCAACAATGGCAGTTTGGTTTGTAATATGTCAAGATTTGATGACTAGTTATTAATATATTATCCTTATTGCTCAAAAGATAAAATGTATGTCAATATACTTGTACTACAATATTAAGAATTGCTTGACCAATAATACGTGGACCCTCCCTATTTGACGACCATTAATTGATTTAATTTCCTAACTTGCAATCTCTAATTCACAGTAGTAACATTGCTTTCCAAAATCCAAACTAGGTATCACTTATCCAACCTTTAAGCTTCCAAATTCTTGTATGTATGATTGTACCACTTTGATCTTGGACTTTCTAAGGCTATCCAAGGCATCTTCATCAGCTGAATCCAAGATCCAACTGCATATATAAAGAGCTTGCACAAAATTGACTTCCAGATTGGACTTTGATCGTGACATGAGGATTTATATTGCTAAAGTTAAAGATATATGCGATGACTAGATGTTCAATGTCTAATATGTTTTCTTTAAATAATTTTTAATACTGCTAGTAAATCATATTGTAAACAGAGTACCAAATAAATAAAAGTGGACAAAATCAACAAATTATTATGGTTCGAGTTAATTAAATAGAAATTAAAGGTCATAACAGCTCAACTAAAGTTATAAGAACAAGCCTGATTGGCAATTAATAATTTGACTATCAAGGACCTGATCTTTCTACTAAAGTTCCACTTGAATTAGGATCCACTTTCTGTTTGGGTTTCTAATAAAATTCCAATTGAGGAATTAGGATCCAACGGAAGCGGAATACCTCGAGTGCAAATTTGGAGTTGAGCCGACGGAAGCGGGAGTTGAAGTGAGGCTTGACTCTCAAGTCATTCCCAAGAAAGGTAGTTTCAAGTACCTTGGATCGGTTATTCAGGGGATCGGGGAGATTGACGAGGATGTCACACACCGTATAGGGGTGGGGTGGATGAAGTGGAGGTTAGCGTCGGGAGTCTTGTGTGACAAGAAAGTGCCACCGTTACTAAAAGGTAAGTTTTATAGAGCAGTGGTTAGGCCTGCCATGTTATATGGAACTGAATGTTGGCCGGTAAAGAACTCACACATCCAGAAGATGAAAGTAGCAGAGATGAGGATGTTGAGGTGGATGTGCGGGCATACAAGGATGGATAAGATTAGGAATGAAGATATTCGAGAGAAGGTGGGTGTGGCCCCCATGGAGGACAAGATGCGGGAAGTGAGACTCAGATGGTTCGGGCACATTCAGAGGAGGAGCACTGATGCACCGGTGAGGAGGTGTGAGCGACTGGCTGTAGTGGGCACGCAGAGAGGTAGAGGGAGACCTAAGAAGTATTGGGGAGAGGTGATCAGACATGACATGGCACGACTTAGGATTACTGAGGACATGGCCCTTGATAGAGATTTATGGAGGTCGAGCATTAGGGTTGTAGGTTAGGGGAGAGTGTGAATATTTCTACAACACAATAGAGGGAGACTATCCAGTTAGGAGTTAGACTAGGAATGTCATTGATCGTCTATTGAGGCAGGGCTTTACCTTCTAGTTGTACTATACCAGCCATCTATTTCGTATTTTCGTATTTTCGTATTTAGTAGCCTATATTTCATATTTCATATCTCTTATATATTGTTGTTATTTTTATTACGCATTTTTATGGTACTAATATATCATCTCCTATTGTTTTTTGAGCCGAGGGTCTCCTGGAAACAGCCTCCCTACCCTTCGGGGTAGGGGTAAGGTCTGCGTACATATTACCCTCCCCAGACCCCACTTGTGGGATTATATTGGGTCGTTGTTGTTGTTGTTGTTGTTTCTGTTTGAATTTTTTTTAGACAACGAACCCATCCCTAAATTATTTTATTTCTTTAAAAACCAATTATTATAAAATCAATTCCGCAACCAAATTCAAAGTGGCCAAATGGTCAACGATATAATGATCCCATAACTTTCTGTATCCTACTTTCCTCTTCAAAACCATGTGGCTGGCAAGAGTATCCACTATTCAATTTCAATCCACACTATCATCACTTCTCCTCATAAATACAAGAACTCCTTATCCCTATTTATGTAAATCGTAGATTTTGTTCACCATATATATGACTAAGTCTTCCCAAAACTTTGCATTAATGGCATTGGCTCTATGGCAAGCTAGCTAGCTATTAGCTAGCATGGCTATTGATAGGGACTGTTCTTCTACTGAAACTCGCTATCTTCTTTGTCTTCTCTGGGCCATTACTCACATGCATGTTTTTTTTATTTTATTTGGCGAATAAAGTGTAAAGTCAAACCAAATATTTGAGGCAATTGTAGAAGACTTTGATCATTTCATGGTTTGCTCATGACAGCTGATTAAGACTTTGCAATATGCATTTTGGCACTTTAATGTGCAAAATCAATTTTATATGCTTGTCTAGTAGTTGGGAGGTTGTGAATTTAATTTTTGCATGTCGATCGATTTCTGATTATTAAATATGAAGATAAAATAATGTAAAATTGAATTTATATATGCATGTGGTAACTAGCTATATACTATTCTACATATCATCAATGTGTAAGGTTTAATTCTTGCCATACCTTTTTCTTCCCCATGCCTCTCCACCCCTTCCCTACCAAATTAAATAGTAAAAAAGATATCCAAAATTGATTAGACTATATTTTTTCCTCTAAACTCAAACTTAATAAGCTAAGTTAATTTGTTTACTATTCTATATTTGAACTGATTTTAACAACATCAAACTATTCAGGAAAAGAATGCAACGAATCAACTGAATTGCAAGATTCAGAATAAGCTTTATGAGAAAGCACATGCTAATTAAAAAAAGCGGCAGTCCGATACTCCAAACTCCCGCTATATGCACAGGGTCCCGGAAGGGCCAGATTACAAGGGTCTATTAAGGTACATACGCAACCTTACAGCATTTCTGCAGGATAATGATTCAAGGTGTTAATGAATAATGACATGGTCCCTGTATCATTAATGTACAATGATCGAGATGATAACGACATTTTTGTAGCTTAGTACCACTGACTAATGAAGACACAGTTCATTAATTCTGCATGCATGAACAAACCGGAATTTTGTTCATAGAGTACATATGAAGTATACTTAGCTAGCTCCATGCAAAAAGTGAAAATTTAGAGCGGGACATTAGCTAAAAGAAAAAAAGTGAGTGGCCGGCTAATCACTGTGGAAAATCTACTACAAGTACTAATAATATCCGCGTGAATTTAATGCAATCTAACCAACTTCTCATCTGTAAAAGTTACATAAATTTACATGTATTATCAATCGTTTTCGGTGGTCTATTCCCACTCTTTTGTCTCTCTATGTTTGACTTTCAATATCTATATATTCTCATTCATTTTCCAAACTTTTCATCCCACATCTCATTATTATCACTCCTAGCAAGCCAAAGCTAAGGGTCTGAAATTAGAATGGGTACCGAAGAGTCGAGGAGATGGATATTGGTGGTGCAATATGTGGTGGTTTTAGGGTTGATCAGCTTGGGATATTATGGAGCAAATGCACAACAAGTGCCTTGTTATTTTATATTTGGTGATTCTTTAGTAGATAATGGGAATAACAACAATATTCAGTCATTGGCTAGGGCTAATTACTTGCCTTATGGTATTGATTTCCCTGGTGGTCCTACCGGGAGATTTTCCAATGGAAAAACTACAGTTGATGTCATTGGTAAGACCCGATCCTTTTTTCTTGTGTGTGATACAAAATATATATCTAGTTTGGATTGGTATGAAGTTAATTTAAGCTCGGAAAACCTCTTACAAAAGGAGTCTATAGGATCCAAATCTATGCAATTATGTTTATTTTACTACATAGAATTTATTTATTTTTTTACAATTTTTAATGTCGCTGACTCCTTTTAAATAATAGAACAAAATATTTAACTGTTGGTCCATTAGGCATCTTCATATACGTAGTCATAGTTGTCCTTTAATTCTTCAATTAACATAAATCAAAATCACAATAAATATTGTTTACTTGCGGCAATTTCTCCCCTTAATAAATTTGGCTACATGCGTGGGGAATAACTCCTACCTCCAACTAAAATCTTTCAGCTAACTAAAAAGAGAGTATATAATGTAAGAGCAACCAAATTGTATAACAGTGGTGATTCATATTATAGTTTTTTTTTTAATTTATATAATATAGTTATTGGGAAAACAAAAAGGAAAAGAAAGAAACTATTTTGCTGTAAATTTTTCTCTTTAGAGCTTTTGCTAGGAAAAAGTTCTGATTAACTTACTGTGATATGTCTTAAATTTACAGCGGAACAACTGGGCTTCAATGGTTATATTCCACCCTATGCAACTGCTAGGGGTAGAGACATTCTCGGAGGTGTCAATTACGCTTCTGCGGCTGCTGGAATTAGAGATGAAACTGGCAGACAACTGGTACTTCATCAAATTCTTTTTATTCTTAAAATTTATGATTTTATTGTAATTTTTTCGTCCAGTTTTTGTGTTTTTGTTTTGAGAAATGTATATTTTTAGCTGTTCTAAAAATTAGTATCCGATAAAATATATATA